AGCCCAGAACATTATGCCTTCCTCTAATACTTTAGACCCAATACTGGTAGAAATAGAGGCAAATACTTCTATTCCTAATATTTCTCCAATCTCTGCAGAAACAAAAAATGAAGAGAGAGAAACTGTTCCATCTCAACTTCAGTCACTTAATCAGATTGTCATTCACGAAGAGGCTGATGATTTTGAAGATGTGACCAACACTGAAGGTGAGGCCACTTAATTTGAGGCAGGGGAAGATAGAAGCAACATACAATTGTTTGATGCAACAGAGACTAATCTTTGGTATGTTGAGGAGGCAGAACCTTTAAAGATACATGTGCAAGAAGAGGAGATAGAGGGGGAGATGGATGCATCTTTATGGGTCCATCAAAACATTTTGAAACTTAGCAAGCAATTTGGAGTTGAATTCCAAGGATGAAAAAGGAAGCCTTGGCCCTATTCATGAAAATTGATAGATGCAGGCAATAGAAGAGACAACAAGCAGAAATCAGTAATATGGAGATTCCCAAGAGAAAATGCAACAATGAGCTCAAAGGTTTGATCTCTGGCATGAAATTCAAAAGCATTGGAGCAAGGAACAAGGGAAAGAAACCACAATTGTGGATCCATGAATATCAAGATTATTTCTTGGAATGTGAGGGGATTGAACCGTAGAAAGAAGAGAAGGGTGGTTGGTAGCTTGATTACCAAATGGAAAGCTGATATTTTCTGCTTTCAGGAGACAAAATAGATAGAAGAGGCGGTTTATCAACTATGGGGTAACAGGAGAATTAGGTTTATGCAATTGGAGGCTAGTGGTACTAGGGGGGGGGGGGTATCTTAATGTTATGGGATAGTAGAGTATGGAACGGGGATGTGATAGCTACAGGCTCTTATTCTCTAACATACAGGTTTAAATCACAAACCCAAGATTTTAGTTGGCATATGACAGGGGTATATGCTCCAAATTGTGATAGAGAAAGGCGGGAAGTGTGGTGGGAGATTGGGGCTGTAAGGGGTCTCTTCCTTGGACCCTGGGTGGTTGCCGAAGATTTCAACATAATTAGATTTCCCTCTGAAAAAATATATTGCACTAGATTCACTAGAGCAATGATAGAATTTTCAGATTTTATAGAGTATATGGAGTTGATTGACCTTCAGATGGAAGGGGGAAATTACACATGGGCCGGTGGGAGCAGACAAGAGACATCCTCTAGAATTGATAGATTTCTCATATCAGTGGAATGGAGTGAGTGTTTCAGGAACATCAGGCAACTCAAAGCTCTTAAAGGAAAGTTGAAAGAGTGGAGTCTTAATAGCTATGACAATCGGGAGAGGGAGAAATCCCTTATACTAAATCAAATTATACTAAATCAAATAACTGAACTGGATGCTATTCAACAACAAAGGGACCTAAATCAGGAGGAAAGAGCCAGGAAAGCTAGACTCTTCATGGAATTTGAAGAGTATGCCAGAAAGGAAGAAATAACATGGAGGCAAAGATCCAGAGTATTATGGCTCAAATTGGGAGACAAAAACACTAAGTTTTTCCAAAAAAATTGATAATGCGCATAAGAGGAACGATACTATTGACAGCCTGATAGTGGAAGGGCAGATCATTGAAGAGCCTGAAGCTATTAAAAAAGAGATAACTGACTTCTATCTTAAGCTGTATTCGTTAAGACCTACCTGCAACATGACCAATTGCCCCACAATCTCAGGAGAAGAACAACAAGCTTTGCATAATCATTTTGAAGTAGAAGTCTTGCACAGTTTGAAATTGTATGCAATAGACAAAGCCACTGGACCAGATGGGTACACTGAGATTTTTCATCAAATGTTGGGAGGTGGTGAAAGACAGACATCATGGCAACTATACAAAACTTCCATTCTCAGGAAATGTTTGAGAAAAGCTTTAACGCAACCTATGTGACTCCGATTCCTAAAAAGAACGGAGGAAAGGAGCTAAGAGATTTCAGGCCTTTTAGCTTAATAGGAAAGCATATACAGGCTGATTTCTAAAATTCTTAAATTCTCACTGAAAGACTTAAGAAAGTGATGCACAAACTAGTTGTCACACACCAGATGGCTTTCATTAAAGGGAGACAAATTACATATGCTGTACTGAATGTATACACTCTAGGATTAAGGAGAAGGAATCAGGAATAATGTGCAAGCTAGATATCGAGAAAGGGTATGATCATGTTAACTGGAATTTCCTCTTGGGAATTCTCCACAAGATGGGGTTTGGAAGGAAGTGCATCAACTGGATGAAATTCTGTATCAGTACTGTTAGGTTCTCTATTTTGATTAATGGATCTCCAGTAGGTTTTTTCCCCTCTGAAAGGGGCTTGAGACAAGGTGACCCACTTTCACCTTTCCTTTTCATACTAGCTATGGAAGGTTTGAACAATATGTTGAAGACTGCTCACAGTAATGGGTGGATTAAGGGATTCAATGTTGCAAATAATCAAGATGAGAGGTTAGAAATAACTCACTTACAATATGCAGATGATACCCTTATTTTTTGTGGACCGGAAGAGAGCCAAGTAAAGTACCTCAGTATTATCCTAATCCTCTTTGAAGCTATCTCTGGTCTTCACATTAACTGGAGAAAGAGTCAGATTTTCCCAGTTAATGAGGTGCCTAGTATTCAGATGCTGACAAATCTTGGGAGGAGAAATTGGCACAATTCCAACTATCTATCTAGGAATGCCTTTGGGAGCAAAAAACAAATCCAAAGAAATTTGAAAAGGAGTTTTGGAAAGATGTGAGAAAAAGCTAGCTAGATGGAAAACACAGTATATATCGTTGGGAGGTAGACTAGTACTTATTAACTCTGTGCTAGATGCTCTCCCTACCTACATGATGTCTTTATTCCTCTACCTGCAAGTGTGGAACATAGATTGGAGGCTCTGAGAAGGAACCTTTTAAGGCATGGAAATAAAGGAAAAAAAAAGGATTTTACCTAGTTAACTGGAAGAAACTGACTATTAGTAAACGAGAAGGTGGATTAGGAATCAGAAACCTTAGGAAGCTGAACAAATGTCTATTGATGAAGTGATTATGGAGGTTTCCTAAGGAAGAACAAACACGATGGGGCAAGGTGATAAAGGCAAAATATGGAAAGAAGGGTTTTGGATGACCAAAGAGGTGAAGAACCCTTATGGAATTAGTTTATGGAGATCAATCCGGAACTTGTGGCCAAACCTTTTTCATGACTTAAGTCTTAATGTGAGGGAGGGAAGGAAAACGTTATTTTGGGAGGACAATTGGCTAGGAATTGAAAGTTTGAAGAATTTGTTCCCTGATATTTTCTGAATCAGCAACAGAGGGGCAACAATTAAGGAGTTATGGGGTACTGAAATATGGAAAGTGACATTTAGAAGATTGTTACAAGACCGGGAACTAACTACAATAACAGAATTTTACAATACTTTGGAACAATGCAGAGAATTACAAGAGGAGGAAGACACTCTAGTATGGCAGAAACATAGCAGCTGGAGGTCTACAGTAGGATCAACTTATAAAAATTTGAATCGGGTAGGATCTCAACTCAGCTTATGGCCTTGGAAGCATATCTGGAAAGTCAAAATACCATATAAAGTGGCATGCTTTACTTGGTTGGTGGATAAAGAAGCAATACTCAAGAAAACCTCATGAAAAGAGGGTTATCAATCTGTTCTAGATATTATTGTGTGGCCAAGATGCAGAGACAATTAGCCATCTGTTTCTACATTGTAGAGTGACAAGACAGCCGTGGGAGTTGTTCGTTACCTAAAGGGCATCCGATGGACAATGCCAGGAAGATCCTATGAACTTTTGTCCAGCTGGAACACGGGAGGGAGCTCTACATCTAACAAAGATAGATGGGAAATATTCCCAGTAGCCATTTGGTGGACAATTTGGAAGGAGAGGAATGCTAGGTGTTTTGAAGATATAAGTAGCCCTATACAGAAGATCAAAATGAATTGCATTCTTATTTTTTGTTTTTGGTGTAAAGCAAAATATATAGATGAACATGGTTCAATCATAGAAGTCTTAGGCTCCTTTAAGAAGAACAAGGAAGTTTAAGTTTGGTTTTTGTCCTGGCTCTTCTTGATGTAATCTTGGTTCCAGTACAAAATTTGTGCTGATGATTTATTAATATATTGGATCTGTTACCATCTCCAAATTTTTTTTTTAACATAATTGTATATTCTAGCCTTCTAAAAAAAAATAAAAAATTACAGGCTTGTATAATGTTTCATTTTGCCACAAAACTCTCATTGCAATGTCCAATCTAGCCATTGTCTTATAAATTAATTTTTTCTCTTTTTATTGGCTGTTTTATATGCTTTCTAGATGTCCAGTTTCTTCTCTGTTGTTGCAGTTTAGTATATTTGATTAAGTGGGTCCCTTGAACTCCCTTATAAATACTTTTAAATACATAACTTAGACTTGAAATTCAGAAAATTTATATTCGTTTTGCCTTCCTTTTTACTCATTAGTTTCTTTAATATTCTTTTGTTGCAAAGCATACTTTCAGAGCATGAATTTGACTGGTACCATTGAAAATAAGTCACAGAAAGGGGGAAAACGGGGACAAAAGGAAATTAATAGATTGTGAGTTTGGGACGGATTGGTTGCAAAAATTCTACTTCGTAATAGCGTCAGACTGTCTAGGCTCTTGTTATTGAATTGTTTGGAAGAATCACACTCACTCTTAAGAGTGGTGCTCTCCATAAATCACACTCCAAATGCTGCAGCAAAAAGTTAGAACAGTCTAGTGGTTGTGCATTGCATTGTTCAGAAGAACTTTGCAAATGCTAAAGAGTGTCGCTCTCTTTGGTGTGGCACTTGGATTATGATTTGCTATTTCTACAGTATTGAGGATTCACCGAATTTATGTGTTTGATTTATGAAGCATGTAATCTGTAATTATGTCTTGCCCTATAATTTTCTTGCCTCTTAAATTTATGTCAAATTTCAAATAGAATCCAAATTTCAGATGACAATATGTGCTTTAATTCTTGGAGCAGGAGCAAGGTATAGCTGTCCTCAGCAAAGCAATTGCCGCTTGCACCCAGGAAATAGAACGTCATAAAGGAAAACTTACAGTCAAGGAGGCCCCTCGAGCGGTGAGAAATTTTTGTTCATTAAACCTGTTTTATATTCCAATTATAGTCATGCATTTTCTTCTTCCTAACTCTGAGAGACCTTTACTTTGACATTGGGACATCAAGATATGGATCAAGCTTAGACTTAGAATTGCAAGATTTAGCACAAACAAACAATAATTAATAAAGCTTGTAAATCTCTTGATAGTTATTGGATGCTGGGAGACCCGAGACCTCCCTTTTCCCCCTTGATAAGTAAAGCTGACACTTCAGGGGGTTTGTTATTAGGAGCTCAACAGATATAGCGCTCTGATTACTTTTTTGAACTATTTTCCTGTTGAATCAAGTTAGATCTTATGATTTAGATTAAAAAACTCGGTTGATGCTCCCCGGGAGTATTTGATTGACTGGAATTGAGCGCCGAGATTAACTGTACAATTGTATAGTTCCAACATATAAAAATAACGCTACAATTGTATAGTTCCGTCACTACTTTTCTTTGTTTTTGTCTCGTGTCTAAAATTTCTGTCTTGCGGCTCTGATGTGATAAAAATCTTTTCAGGTGAGTGAACGGGAAGATAAATTACTTGCTGAACAAATGGCTAAACTTGGACGTGAAAACGAGGAGAGAAGTGGTGATGAAGATAGTGAAGAGGAAGAAGATACAGGAATGGGAGAAATTGATCTTGAAAAGTCAGGAACTGGAATAACAGATTGAAACTGAAGCTTGTTGTGGACTTGAACAGCACTCTGGCATTTTCGTGCCTAATTGTCTACTCTTTTCTCTGTCCTTTGTTAAGCCCTTTGCTTATTTTTGGCCTTTCTCTTTTTAAGCATTTGAGATTGTATACAAAATCAACCTTGATGTCAAGTCCTTGCGGCTATTTGGTAAAATGCAAATTTAGCGATGGATTGAGCAATGATATGGGTTTACTGTCACTTCAGAGGTGCAAATGACAACGCCGTTGGACAAGCTACAAAGGGGATTGTTGATGGCACAATGTCCACGAAGCATGTTAAATGTTAAAATAATATATTTGACCTATCAAAAGTACGTGTCTGAGCTAAGTGCGTGACAACGTCAATAAGCTAGCCGGCCATCAACTACTTTTTTGAAATCATATTGATCTTTTGTAAATAGACAGATGCCTCTGCCCTAGTCGTTCCTGTCGAGCCGCTTCCCTTACCTATTCTTTTTTTATTTTATTTTAATTATGCTCTTGCAATTCTTTTTCACCAAACAGTAGATGGAGGGCTCATATTTTAGTGGGTTATGGTTTAATGTAAATATGGAAACATATAGAGTAAGAGTAGTAGGATATTTAGCAGTGCAGTCATAACCTCAAACTAGTATGTAAAGGCGTCATCGAGCAATTGTCTCATTCGACTGTAAGCAGTCAATTATCCGTTTAAGATTCTTAGTTGCAATTAGAGGTGTACATAGGTGGGGTTGGTTCGGATTTTATAATTACCAAACCAAACCATTGTGTCGGGTTATTAAATTTAAAGACCAAACCAATAAAACTTGGGTTTCTAAATCTCGGGTTTTTTTCGAGTTTTCGGTTTATTCGGGTTTTTCCGGTAAAATCTTCGTAGAACAAAACATATAACTTGTGCTCAAAATATTTCTTTAATCCTAATAAGATACAACTATATAAAGTATTTTTTAAGAAAATAATACAAAATATGAGATGTGTCATGGCATTATCCTAAAATATTCAACAATATAATATAAATATTGCTAATTAAAAAGCCATAATAAAAATAAACATAATCTAAAAGTACTAAGTCATGCTAAAATAAGTAGAGTAATAAGGGAGTATTAATTACATGACTAAACGCTAAAGAAAAAATAAAAATAGGTTATGCATTTTTATCTAAATTATTGCAAAACTAAAAATAGATATTCAATACATTCCCGTTTGTAGTATTGAATTGAATGTCTTTTGTTCGCATTAGTATTGATTTGATTTTGATTTGGGCTTTTTTGTTAGCATTATTTGATTTATTAATATTGATGGCTATAAAACTTATTGGAACATTTAAAAGTTCTAAGTTCAACCTTGAAATAATACCTTAGAAGATAAAATTATGAAAAAACTTAAGAGTTTGGTTTCGGTTTGACTTTCTTTAGTTAAAACCAACCAAACCAATTATGGTCGGGTTTTTTTTCCCAATACCAAACCAAATCAAGCCAAACCATAGTCATTTTCTTTTTCTCGGTTTAACTCGTATAATTGGGTTGGTGCGGTTTATCGATTTCCTCTGTAGGCCCCTAGTTGCAATATTCCACTTGCATTGCATGAATAAAAAATCATGGGACTCGGTGACAAATGGTAGTCCAAAAATCCATGTGCTTATTAAAAACCTATTGACAGCAAAAATTGCACTCTGACTAGGACTTTGTTAATGAAAAACTCGGATATTAAGAAATAAAAAAACAAAAAAGAGGAGGGTAAGCTCAAACCCCCTGGTCTGGGGGTCGGTGGCACTGTTTACACAACTCCTTTGCTGCCATAAAAACAATAATGAGATTCTAGTGTTAACAGATTTGCCTCCTTTGTGTGGCCCCAGATCCTTGTAATCTCTAACCATATTTCAAAATCATCAGTTTCATTTTTTTCGCCTTTGGACTTTTGACTCTCTCTCTCTCTCTCTCTCTCTCTCTCTCGCATATGCTGAATTAGCATTGCGTTTTTTCACGTCATCGTTCTTTTTTCCTCATCTCTCTTGCTAGAGAGAACACAAAAGAATTATCAATCCAAAAAAATGGCTATATCATCATCTTCATCGTCCATGCAAGATATCTTAAAGCAACGCAAATACCCATTCATCTTCTCTTTTTTCCTTTTACTCATCTTCGTCACTTTCCTCCTCATTTCAAACTCCCAGAAATCTCCCATATTCGTTGCCATCGACTTTGCTCAACGTACCTCTCAATCCAAATCATCAATTCCCGATAATCCGGAATTGAATCCTAACACTATTTCAAACGAAAACGTACCGCTGAATAATAGTATTACGATCAATCCTGAGTCTGACGTCCCGCTGAATAATAATTATACGATCCATACTGATTCTGATACATTAATCAACAATGAATTGGAAAGGTTCGCTTATGATTGGAAGCTATGTCCCGGTCCCGTGGCGGTTGATTACATACCGTGCCTTGATAATTGGAAAGCAATAAAGGCAATAAGGTCAAGAAGGCATATGGAGCATAGGGAAAGGCATTGTCCTGTACCTAGTCCCAGGTGTTTGATTCCGTTGCCGGTTGGTTATAAGTTGCCGGTTTCGTGGCCTAAGAGCAGGGACATGGTGAGATTTTCACTTCTTTGGTGGTAAGATTTTTGTTTTCTAGCTTAAAGCGTTGTAGATATATATGATTTTTTAACAATTAGCTGCTTGCTCGCAACTCGATTGCTAACTCTGTCCATCAAAATTTATTTAGGTAGATGAAACGAAATTACCAGTATTTTTGTCTCAACTGACATGGAGCTAGATATGGTTTTAGTTGGTTTTTGGAAGTTATTAATTATAGGTCCAAATAATTGTTTTTCTGTTTATGTAAATGGAGCAACTTCTAAATTTGCTAAAGCTTAATTTTGTTTTCTTAGAGCGTTACTTTCTATTCGTCATACTATTTATTTTTTATTCCTCATTTCTTTCTTCTTCTGCGCGATAGATATGGTACGACAATGTTCCTCATCCTAAGCTTGTGGAATATAAGAAAGAACAGAATTGGGTTAAACAATCTGGTGAGTATTTTGTTTTTCCTGGAGGTGGAACACAATTCAAGGATGGAGTGAATCACTACATCGAATTCATTGAAAAGGTACTCTGTCTATTTGCATTCTCGCCCATCATAATCCCAAGCGACAATCATCGACAATATATGTTTGTTTCTTTTAATTTTCATCTAAAGCAATCATCTAATGAATGTAATATTCATTGTTAATATCTGTCTGTACATTGATGTCTTTCATAATCAGTAGAAGCGATATTTCGTGATATTAAGTTAGGAAGAGGCACTTCATATCCCGCGGTTTCAAAAAAGAACTCCTATTGTTAATTTTAAAAGTGTTCATTTAATTTTCCTATTGTTAATGTTCTCATGGTGTCTTTTTCCTTCTTGCTTTTTATTCAGACTTTTCCAACAATTGAATGGGGAAAGAATATAAGGGTCGTTTTAGATGTTGGATGTGGTGTTGCTAGCTTCGGCGGTTATTTGCTGGATAAAAATGTCATTACCATGTCATTTGCTCCAAAGGATGAACATGAGGCTCAGATACAGTTTGCACTGGAGCGCGGAATCCCTGCTACTCTCTCAGTCATTGCAACTAAAAAGCTTGCATTTCCAGATAATGCATATGATGTGATTCATTGTGCAAGATGCAGGGTTCATTGGCATGCAGATGGTAACTGACTATTCTCAAATTTCTAGGTCCTTCTACCATCTATATTGTCGACATGGTAACTAATTGAAACCTGCAGGAGGAAAACCATTGATGGAGCTCAACAGGATTCTTAGGCCAGGAGGGTACTTCATATGGTCTGCAACTCCAGTTTATAAGAAGGATGAAGGACATAAGAATGTCTGGAAAGGTTCTCGCACATTGATACTTAGTTTTTTCTACTTTCTTTCTGTTTGTTGTTGATGAACTATGTAGAAAGTGACTGCAAGAGGCAAGCTTAAAGAAAAGAAATACAGCACTGTAACGGTGAAGTTACTCTCGAACTGAATTACTCCATATTTGTTATGCTTGGTAACATATGATTTTTCTGTCTTGTTCTTTGCAGTTATGGTTAATCTGACAGAAGCAATGTGCTGGAAGATGGTGGCAAAGACCTACTTTAAAAAGGCTAGAGTCGGGCTAGTCATATATCAAAAGCCAGATTCATCTTCCTGCTATGAGAATCGTAAAGAAAATAATCCCCCTATGTGCGAAAAGAACCATAGGCTGAATAGTTCATGGTACACTTGAAACACTTTGATGAAAATTATCATCTATATCCTTATTCTAATCACATTTTTTCCTTAATCTTGTCTTTCACATCCAAATACGCAGGTACACGCCACTGGACATCTGTCTTCTACCACTCCCCACGAGTAGCTACGAGTGGCCTGCACCTTGGCCCCAGAGGCTCAACAACAAACCTCTAAGTCTATCCCTTGAAACAGACGCCGAAGAAATATTTAATGCGGATACAAAACACTGGGCAGCTTTGCTATCAGATGTGTACTTAGGAGGTCTTGGCATAAATTGGTCAAATGTGAGGAATGTGATGGACATGAATGCAGGCTATGGAGGGTAAGACAAATTTATTTTGTTGGAAGCATATTAATTTTGTGCTGCTTCCTCATCGTCTTACTGTTTTTCCTATGGTTAATGCAGATTTGCGACTGCACTGATTGATCGACCCCTGTGGGTAATGAACGTCGTTCCTATCAGTGGACCGGATACTTTACCCATTATCTTTGATAGAGGGTTGATTGGCACATACCATGACTGGTGCGAGTCCTTCAATACCTATCCGCGGACATATGATCTTCTACATTCCAGCTTCCTCTTTGGAAATTTAAGTCAAAGGTTCAGTCATTACTTCCTGGTTACTATTTTGAGCTAATTTTTGCATGACTTGTTTTAGCAAGAATAGTCAATTACTTAACAGGTGTAGGCAAAATTTTCTTTTGAGATGAACTTTTTGTTGTCTCTTTTTGCAGATGTGACCTAGTGGATGTAGCTGTGGAGATGGACAGAATGCTGAGACCAGGTGGATATTTTTTAGTTCAAGACACTTTGCAGATGATTAAACAACTTGGCTCAATTCTGCGTTCACTTCATTGGTCGGTAACTCTACATCAAGAGCAGTTTCTCGTTGGCAAGAAAGATTTTTGGCGCCCCAAAGACACAGCAAAAATATCAAAGTCCTAAACAGTTTTGTATATTTTACAGTTATATCTCCAGTTTATCTGTAGAGAGAAAAGAAAACATACTTCTCAACAAGTTTTGTATATTCATTCATTTCTTCTCAAGGAGAAGTATTCAAATTTATACAAATACATACTTCCAGAGGAAAGTGATTTTTGCCTCTAAAAATGAAAAGATGTTCGCTTCTTGGCACCACTTATCTACAGTAACATTCCTTTTGGCATACCAGCTTTTTTGTAGAGAGATAAAACCATAATTTTAACATGATCCGCCTCTGTCGTGGAGTACTTATTTTTGTTGTTATTAGTGTTTCTTTTGGGAGCAAAATATGAGAAGAGAGTTGCAAGAGGAGATTATCTTCAATTACTACTCCTGGATATGCATATCCAGAAGACAAGAAACACTCAGCGGAGGTAGGCGAAAGCAAGAAAGATGATTACATGAAGCAAATAAAGTTCATTTCCAGACACCTCACACCCTTATTGAAGCCTGCACCTTTCACACAAAAACATAAACCGTACAGGCAAACTATTTAAACAGAAACCAAAATCTAGTCTAATGCTACCTACACACGTGATGATTGTAGGGCAATAGAGGATTCTTCAAACAGAGTGTCACAAAGCAGAATATGATCCAAACTTCAAAGGAGCTGCTGCACAAAGACTGTTTGCAGTGTCATTCATAAGCTTGCCATTGGCAGCTGTAATGCTTCGAGAATAGCAACCAGCTTCACCCTCATAAGAATAACTCTGTTGAGTGGTTGCGCCACCATATAGAACATTGTGATCTTGAACAACCATCCACCCTTTGCATTGCTGCCGATTTGTCAAACTGCTTGAAGAACCTCCATCCAACTTCTTCTTCTCCTTCCATTCGTGGTCCAAATCAGAAAGCATCAAACTTGTACCATTCTCCGTTGATGGCAAAGTCTTACTGGTTATAGTAAGCGGATATTTCCTCTTTACTTTGGTCTTAGAGATGTTGCCTCCACTAATAGACACTACTCTAACTTCAATCTCCTCTTCCACTTTTTGCTTAATGTGCTTCTCAGTTCCGTTCAGATAAAAATTTATCTTGTTCTTGAACTTCAATTCTCGCGAAACTATAGTAGTCAAATTGCCTGCTGATGAATTCACCCAAGAAGAAATCTCGCTCTTCCTCTTCAACTCAACCTCAAATGACCCATCCAACCCTATAAAACTCGAAGACCGCTCAATCTTGAACTTAGGAGTACCCAAATCAAAAGCTTTAGCCTGCACTTCATTGCTATCCAACCAAAGGTGCAAATTCGCATCCACAAGCCAGAATGGGATACTATCCGCAACTCCAAGCCCAAAAAAGTGATCTTGGCCATCAAGTAAAACCCCCAAAAATGATGTTAAGTCAATGTCATAAGAAGGAAGATCAAATGCCCCTATTGAAACAAGTGGTTCCCAATACAGAGGATTAATTCCACCTGCGAAAATAACCGGGAACGGAACCACAGATCCTACCAAATACTCATCTATATTCAACAAAACTTCCCTGTACGATCCGTGGCCTCTCCGGGTAGTCAAACTATTATTCTGTATGTACGAATCTGGAGGATTTGAGTACCAAAACTCATCATACCCATGAGATGATACATAAATTTCAATCACAGCTTTATATGTGTTATTCGGAATAATAACTCTCTGTCCATGCAACTCCGATTCGTTTAGAATTCGGAACCAAAATCCTTCACTCCCATTTCCTGATGTTATTGGTATTATCAAATCTGCCGGTTTTTCATAGGAACTTTTCAAATTGTTCGCTCCTATTTCTCCCACAGCCTTAACATCATAGTAGAGGAAACTAACATTAACATGATAAACGCCTGTATAAACATCGTTGACCATATTTTCTAACATGACAGAAAGAGATTTATTGGCGTTGACCAGGATGGAGGAGTACCTGGTGACGTCTTTAATAACGGACCAGAAAACGCCGTTATCAGTAGGCTCGGGGGTGCTAGTACGGAGGAGCTCGGCGCCGTCAAGCCAAACGGCAGCGATACGGTCGTATTGAAAACCATTGGAAGAAGCATTGAACTGAAGAGATACGTGGGTCCAAGAGCAATTGGAGGGAGGAGAGTATAATACAGAGAGCGGTGGAAGACCTATTGTATTGCTGAAGTTGTGGGTGAGGATATGAAAAGTGCATGAAGGAGTGAGATTAGCAAATGGCAATGGAGGAGTGATTTCCAAGTATTGCTGCGAAGAAGTAGTGTTATTTTGGCGAAGACTTTGTTTGGTTAAGTGGGAATGGTGCTCAAGGGAAGAAGAAAATGGAACTATAAAACTGATGAAAAAGAAGAAGATGAGAATCGCCATGAGAGAGGAAAATGGAGTATTCAATTCTTTGAGAGCAATCTTGAGATTAGATGTGTAGGGATCCAATTCCAATGTGTGGTTTTGACTAATCTTTAGATGTAAATGCTGATTCTAAGTTTGGTGTAAATACGTGTGCTAAGTTTTGCGTGTGAAAATTTGAGATTGCAATCTTTCTCCTTTCATGTCGACTTTACAGAACATGAATTGATGGAATAGTATAATAATAATAGCAGAGATATGACTAATACAACATCAAAGATAGTGGTGGGAGGGTTCTACTCTCAAAATGACACTTCCTACTCAATGTGAACATTGTTTGACTGGGCACGGAGTTTAAGAAAAAATGAAGAATTTTAGAATTTGTAATCCTAAACAAGTTAAAATGGGGCATATAGTATTTGTGTGGTTATAAAAGCTTCTCGAATTGTTACCAAATTTAGAAAGGGGTCATTCTTTTTGGAATGGACCAAAAAGGAAATAGGTTCACATAAACTGGAACAGAGGAAGAAAACTTTACACGGCACAAACTCAATTTATCCGAATAAAAAACTAAAAACGAAAACAAGATTACTCCTTCTGGACAACATTAATAAGTGACCAATTTGCTAAAATAATAAATTCAAGACAAAAATAGATAGTGTAACTAAACTATCCTTAATTAAATATTGTAGCATAATTTAATGTGAGGAGTAAAAGACCTTTTAGAGATACATACATAAGTGTAATTTTGGAAAAACAAATTGAATTTTTTCTTAATTATATAAATAGACATTTATTTTGGAACAAAATAAAAAAAATTGATCACTTATTATGGATCGGAGGTAGTAGCTATTAATATGTAAATAAACAATTATGAAACGTCAGTAGGAAAAAGAAAATTATGAAAATTCAATGAAATAATGGTGCTTACTAGAACCATAAGGTGACAAATGGCAGATTTTTTGGCGAAAAGAAGGGTCATGGTACCCAACTATTTCGAGACACTGACGTTTTTGAATTATTTCACTCTTCTAAGGTTTCTTGTCTGTTTTCGTTCCAAAATTTTCTAAAACAGAATATATATCCTTTCTCGAAAAATATCAAAATGCTATTTTAACGTATTGGGTTGCTTTATTTTACTCCTTAATTTATCCCCTTCAAAATTATGATTCTTAGTAGGCGTTTCAACAGAAAAAAAGTGAGATTTTTTAAAAAATAATTTTGAAGTTAAGTAAAAAAAAATATTCAAACCTTAAAATTTTGTTTGAACATGCATATCGCTTGAAAAAAGTTACCAAGAAAATATTATTTACCTGAAACAATAGTAAAAAACTTAAAGCTCATCTTCAACAGTCAGTTAAATGTATAAAAACAACAATAACAAAAAAATATAAATAGGAGAAAATTCTTAAGAACAAATGGGTCCTTAATATATATAAAAAAAAAAATGAAATCATTGGTCCAGAGTCATAAATCTAACAGATTTGTCGAAAATTATTAAGTTTAACTCTTTTCTCTCCGTGCGAAACAACTTCTTAGGACCATTCCCGGTCAAACACCCTCCTCAATCGCAGCTAATAAAGTAACCCACAACAGCTAGAGGTAGGCGTTGAGACTGTTTGGATTGAATATAAAATTTTTGGTTTGGATTGTTGATTTATAAATTGAAGAAACAATAATTCAATTAAGTTCGGATTGGATTAGATTTTTAAAGTTTAATTTTGAATTAATCGGTCTGGTTATTCTGGATTTTCGATTGGAGTTTTGACACAATTACCCACAAAAATAAAACTATTTACCCTTGTCTACCCATTTATTTTTCTACCCATAAACTAATTATATTTCCTACCCATAGCAGTTTTTGTGGAGAATTTTTTCTTTATTCTCCAAATCTTTTTTATTTCTATACTTCTTTTCTTTTTTTCTTTTTTCTTTTCTTATCCTTTTCTTTTTTCTCATTTTCTTCCTATTTTTTTATATTTTTTCTCTTTTATTCATTCATTTTTGCCCAAATCGTATTATTGTTATTTTTTCCATAACTTATTTCACACTCTAATTTGACTCCTTCTTTATTTTTTTTATTTTTATTTTTTTCTTTATTTCTCGTTCCTTTTTTAATTCCACGTGATTGCCATGCAAACCTTGATCTCCTTCCCTACAAATATTAGTACATACTCTACCATTAGCAGTAACACCAACCAGTGATGGAGCAAGACAATATAATCTACCGCCACTAAATCTCCATATATACTAGTTAGAATAGAAATGATAATAAAATATTGGAAATTGCAATAAAAATATAAGTAGCAAAAAAGACTTCTAGTACCACATGATACCAATATGGTATACATGTATACCAACAGAGTATATGATTGCTCTAGAATATTGCTACAACTATCTGTGACTATACTACTGTACCAAAACATTAAAGGATACAATAAAAGTATGAGAAAATTACATGCTCGCATTGCAAGGTAAATATTCGCAAAGCAACTTGCTCATTCCATATACTAACAGGGTGTACAGTTGTATGGGTCGTTCCAACAATTGCCTATAATTATAAAAACTATTACATAATACACATAATCTATATCCATCAGCACAAAAATTTTCCAGCACTGCAAATCACGTTCATATAAATAATTTCAGAATAGAATTCACTTAAAAATGCAGCCAAAACAACCAAAAAAATGTTCAAACTACCATATGATACCAATATGGCATATAACTATACCAACATGGTATACAGTTTTACTGGTTAATTCCCGGCAACTATATGACTATACTACTATTACATAACACACATGCATAAAGAGAAAAATAAAAAAATAGTGTACCACATGTTAATGTAATAAAGTATTTCAAGTTATTGAACTATATTACTATTATTAAAAGAAAATCAAATATTGTACTAATAAATGCAGCTAATACAACCAAAAAATGATTCAACTAGCATATGATACCAATATAGTATATAGTTATACTAATAGGGTATATAGTTGGAATGAATTGTATACCAAAATAGTATATCTGTATACTATTTGAGTATACAATACAAATTCGTCTTCTTCTCTTATTCAACTATATTTCAACCCAACTTCTAAAATCTACTACAAAATCTCCACCAAATTGACTAAAACTTTAGATACAACCTCCAATCAACTTTCCAAACAAACCCATATAGGATCGGATCAAAATAATTAAAAACTCAAACAAACCAAGTTATGAGTTTCAAGCTTCAAGGTCCTTCAATGGTGGATTTGATTTTTGTACAATAAAGTCAACCCACCAAAAGTTCTATATTCAGGGGGAGGAGGCGGGTAAATAGTTTGGGCCCCATGGGTAGGAGTAGTAAATAGTATAGATATGGGTATTTAAGGGTAAATAATTTGTATTTAATGGGTATAAAGTGAGCTTTTCTCTTTTCGATTTTGAGCCTATAAGTGAGTTTCTTCTTCTTCTTCTTATTATTATTATTATTATTATTATTATTATAAATGAACATTCAAATGAAATATTTATGTTAAATTGCCGACCTTTGGATTTGAAATCATTGCTTATGTACCCGGTATTGGCCTGCATCTTCACGTGACTCAATAGGAGAGATTGACCTGACCTATCAATATTTCATTATTCTCGCAACAATCATCCAAATAAAGTATTTATATAAATAATTCCATTATCAAAGAAATGCAATAGAGACATTAATAATGCTGATATAAGCTAACAATAGTAAAACCATATAAAAAAAAAGACATAAGCTAATGTGTAATGAGTAACGTATTGGACATTGACATATGAGATAATGGACTAATATCTAATGGATAGCATCAAATATAAAGTATAAAGTACCGAATCTAGTATACTATCAAAATCTAAAAAATTTAAAAATTAAATTCGAAATTTAATCCATAATCCGAAATTCGATTCAAGAATCCAAAAAATATTAAATTTTAGTTTTGATTTCGGATTTGTCCAAACTATACCACCCTAATAAGAGCCATGCATTGGTTGATAAACTCTATGCCCTAATCTTTAGAGAAGCTCTCTCTTCGTCATTTCAAAAATGTCAATCAAAAGTAATGGTGGAGAAGAATCAGCCCCATGTTTTGGCAATTAGAATATATTGTTTAGGTTTCAGAATCAGGTATATTTTGTTTCTTTGCTTCTGTTATTTTTTGTCAAACTCCATGTGAAATGATTCTTGTCATTTGTTAGTGTTAAGTTTTCTAATACTACAATTTACACAAAGTATTAGATAGTGGTCTAACGTTGATGCCTTTTGTCTCATCGAGTGCTGAAGAGTGGTTCAGAGAATATTTAGAAGTAGATGCATGCAAATGTACAATATAGCAAATATGTTCGAGGAGGCATCTTTTAGCATAAAAATTTACCATAACGAGTCGATGAAACATCAGTGAAGCAAACTGTATATTGAAATCATGGTAGAATACTTCTTCACAAACGACTCGGGAGTGCTCAACATCAGTCTTTAAGCAGTTTTATCACTAACATTATAAATAATTACACCCTCCAGTTCACAATAAGTGACCAATTTGCTTTTTCATTTTCGTTCAAAATAAGTGTCCAGTTATGTAATCAAGAAAAAATTCAATTTGTTTTTACAAAATAACCCCTATGTACATATCCCTAAAAAGTTTTCTTACTCCTCACATTAAATGTTTAATTAGGGGTAGTTTAGTCATAGTAGGTATTTTTTTTATAGAATTTAGTATTTTCTTAATGGGCGTGCTAAAAGTAAATTGGTCACTTATTGTGAACTGGAGGGAGTAATTGACTAGCCGAACTTCAGCTACATATGTTAATATCAAATTAAATCTACTCTAATGGTACACAATACACTGTTTGACCAAAATGTATGAAACCTTTAGTTAAACTAATTAAATAAGAAAATAACGGGTAAATCCTAGTTAAAGATAATAATTTCTAGATCCGAAATGCGTTTGTGCAGATAATGTGGGATTGCATTAAAATCGATTTAATGCTATGTATATTAAATGATGTGGTTATGAATGAGTGGAGAGTAATGATAAGCAATAAATACATTAAATGTAGCTAAATGTAAATAGAGAAAAAGATTACCCAATATTGAATGAGGTGGATGATTCCTCTCCCTTACAATGATGTAAGACAAATGAATATGAGAATATAAGGAGCTTTCTCGAATCTGATGCGAGAAATATGGGATAAACAACAAATCGAATCTCTATGGAAAGACAATGTTTGTATTTTACTAAAGAGTCAATTTTTCAAGAGAATTCTAATCATATAGAATATTACATGCCCATGTTCTTCTCTCTACCATTCTATTTATGTGGGACATACCCCTTACCTAACCTAAAGTAAAGGTACAGAGAATATTCAATGAAATATTCTCCTAAATATCTTATTACAAAACTAGCCGTTATTGCCGGCCTGGACATCCTACCTCGGCCTCGATTAATTAGTGCGACCTCGGCCTATTCGCCTAATCCTGTGTACGACCTTGGTCTAATCGCCTCTTAGTAATCTATTCTTATGCCAGGTCCCCTTAGTCAGATTTTGACCCGTACAGTTAGTCCCTCCACCTGTCGAGGTTGTTCTTGGACGAGCTCGATGGGCGGACTTCGCTAGTTGCAACTTGAGAAATCTGGGTGCGTAGGTCGAGTTGTAACGTTTTTATGGCGAGGTGACGACGTGGCACTTCGAGAGCCACATCCGACCGTTACGTCAGTTTGAAATAACATCATTTGATCATGCGTCATTATGGGGCATGTTCCTGATACGTTACGTCATTTCCCGCGCTCCTTACGTTTCGAAATTAATGTGGCGGCGTTTGTCCTTCTCGATTGGGGTGGCAGTATACTTATAAATAGGGGTGGGAACTCCCCATTTGATTTGCTGCATTTCTAAGCATTTGAATCTTCAAGTTTTCCCTTCTTCTCCTCAAAATTGTTGCATCCTTATTTCTCTTTTCTTTTAGCATTCTCTGTTATTACCATCCCTTTCGTATTTGCAATTCCTCCCCATATACGCGACCAAAAATGGCTAGTGCATCTTCTAACTTTGAGAGAATTTCTGACACGGTTCCATTGACTGTGGGCATGCCTTCTCACGATGAAGGAGAAGCCATTGTTGCAGAAGACGAGAGTTTCCCCACCGTGGATGTAATAATTCCATGCTCAGAGAGGGCCAGGTCGGACTTCTCGAAGCAGCCTGAAGATGATCCTGAGCCTGTTATCTCCGAGATGGATGCGACGGCCTTTGTTGAATTTACGGCCAAATAACGAATCCCAGACCATATTGACCTTATCCTGGTTGGAGACGATGTGGTGCAAATTCATCGCCCTGGATACTGCACATTTTACGCGTATCCGTTCATTGCAGGTTATTCGCTTCCTCTTCCTTCATTGGCGGAGGATTTCTGCAGCTATTATGGCGTCTGTCCGGCCTAGCTCTCCCCATATATCTATAAACTTTTTCTTATGCTGATTAAGTACGCGGAGCTTGCCAACCGCGAGATCTCCCTCCGCCATCTGCTTTACCTTTTCTCCCCAAGCTTTCACAGGGGTACGATGATACACCTTTGCCACCGCGGGACCAAGGGATTGGTGGTGAAGATGGACGAGAAGACAAATCATCATTTTTGGGTTAATTTCTTCTACGTTAGGACAGAGCATGTGGTGTCGAACCCCAATGGATTTCCCAAAGAGTGAAACTTTGCTCGTAAGTATTTTTGCTAACTGGCTGTTTGTTGTTTCTCTTCTGTGACTTAATCGTTATTCCCCCCTTTTTTTGTATGCAGCCGAGAAGGACCCTCCTTTATTGGTCGCCTCGCGACTGGGTGAGCCAAATTTTACCTCACACGGTGGGGATCCGTGAGTAGTTGCAGCTTAACAAGAAGTTTGGACGTAAGCCTTCTTCGACAGGTGAGTCAACTTGTTTCAATCTTAGTTGCTTTGACCTCCATACCGTTTTTTTTACTTGTCTTTTTTTGTTGATAGGTAGGAGGGCTCCGAGCGGGGCGAGGGCTCCTACTCTCGCATTTCGTCAGTCGGGTGCCTCGATCTGGTCTCTCCTCGCTGCGACTGTAGGCGACTCCGTTTAGGTTGTTGTTTCTTCTCAGGCCCCGGCCCCGCGTAGGCCTAGCCGTCGGGCAACTGCCCCACCTGCGGAGACTTTGACTTCTCCAATATTGCACTTAGTGGACAAGTTGTCGCAGGGCGATTAGGAAGCAGGGGGGCATTCCCGATCAGGCCATGGCCGCACCGAAGAGCGGCGTGGCTTCGGTTGCAGAGACAGCGTCCCCTTCAAATGTGGAGATTGCTTCCTTGCTAGGGGTCTTCGTGGAAGTAGGAAGGCGATCTGAGGCAGCTGAGGTCATTCCGAGGAGTGACCCGTCAATGTCATAGCGGGTCGGCGCACCTTCGTCTGCCGAAGAGAGGGGGAAAAATGTGGTCGTGGATGGCGACGAGTCTGGTTCCAACATCGACCCCGAAGAGGTATGGATGTTAGATGAGGGGTTGACTCGGGTAGAGGTGAGAACGGAGGGATCTGCTCGTGCTATCGTCATTCCCTTAGACTACAACCTGTTGACGAACATGGAGAGCGTAGTTCCTTCTTTGCTTCCCCTTTACACTGGCGCCGAGAACAGGACCTTATAGACATTCAAGGATGCCGACCTGTCATTAGGCATATCTAGATTGGCTTTGAGGGTAAGTGTACCTTTTTCTCTTTTCTTTTTCAACGTTTGTCTGCTGATTGCTTTTTTGCCTGTTCATCGGACCCTCATTTTGGAGATTGAATGCGCCTGTCGTGAAGAGAAGAAGAGGGCTTTGTTCAAGAGGTGGAGTCCAAGTATAAAGAGTACCGTGCCAAGCATCGTGAGTTGTGCCGCCGATTCAGCGCGGATGGTAAATTCCAGTCTCTTAGGGACGAGCTGAAGGAGAAGGACGATGAACTCGTGAGAGTCGAAAGATGTAGCGAGCTTGAGGGAGATCTTAAGGCCAAGGATGACGAGCTCGAGGTGAGCAAGGGGTTGCGATCGAGTGCGTCGATCTTCAATCTCAAGTAGCATCCCTGCAGGCTGAGCTTGAGCAGAGTTCGATCAGAGCCAATGACCTAAGTGACGAGTTGACTGAGAAAACGGTAGAGCTGGAGAGGGCCGAGGAAGCCAGGACGATGACTTTGGTGAGGGTAGCAGCATTGGAGGAGGTCATCCGCGTCCTTAGATCTGAACGGGCGAGCGAAGCAAAAACGGCCATGCTCAGAGAGGCACGGGTTGATGAGCGGATTGGTGGACTCAAGAGAGAGGTTTCAAGCCTTAGTGACCAAGTCGCTACTCTTGAGGCCGAGAAGGCGCATCTGCTGGCGCGGTTGTCCTCCTCCTATACTTCTGCGTTTTCCGATGTTCTGCAGCACTTATATGAGATGTGGATCCACGCCGAGGCTCAGCTGGACATTCTCAAGAATTTGATGACGGCGGGAAAGGTTCCTGAGGCCGATTTTGAAGATGCTCGTGTCAAGGCGTGTGCGTCTAGGATTGCTTGTGGTTATGTGTGATGACCCGGCCCGTCGTCACATGAGTTACCGCCCTGTTTTTCCCATATTATGTTTCTCTATGCTTCATTATCGGTAGTTGGGGTAATCGAGTCGGATTGGTTTGGTCTTGGTAGGAGATGAGACATTTAGTCTCTCTAAGGAAAGCTTGTTTTGGAAAAGTCAACCAGAAGTTGACTAGTTGGTTAGAGGGCTCGGATGTGATTTCCGGAGATTCGGTTAGCTTCGGGGGATGATTTGTGACTTAAGAGCGTGATCGGAATTGGTTTTGGAGGTCCGGTGTAGAATTAGGCTTGAATTGGCGAAGTTAGTTTTTTGGCAAATTTCGGTTGGTAGGTGAGATTTTGATCCGAGGGTCGGAATGGAAATTCCGAGAGTTTCTGTAGCTCCGTTAGGTGATTTTGGATGTGTGTGCAAAATTTCAGGTCATTCGGAGATGTTTTGGGTCGAGTTTTGATCGAATGCGTATTGCGGAAGTTTTGAAGAAACTTAGGCTTGAATTCGATGTGATTTAATGGTTTTAGCGTTGTTAGACGTGTTTTGAGGATTGGAACAAGTTTGAATAATGTTTTAAGATGTGTTGGTAACTTTGGTTGAGGTCCCGGGGGCCTCGGGGGTGATTTAGGGTGGCTAACGGAAGAAATTTGAAGTTGGAAAATTGCAGGTTTTTGGTTGCAGCAGGTGTTTCCGCATCTGCGGAAAGGAGATCACAGATGCGGTCTCGCAGAAGCGAGCTAGGCCTCGCAGGAGCGGAAATAGGATCCCAGGTCAGGTTCCGCAGAAGCGGGACATTGGGTCGCTTAAGCGGTCCCGTAGATGCGAAGTTGGACCGCAGAAGCGGAAAGTCGCCTTAAGTGAAAGGTCCGCAGGAGCGGACGTTGACCGCATAAGCGGAAGGCGCAAAAGCGGGAATTAGTCCGCAGAAGCGAAATAACTGGCAGGTTAAGTGAAAACATCTTCCTCGCGAATTTTTGAAAGAGTAGCATTTTGGACTCCGAACCTTGAGAGCTTTGAGGCGATTTTGAAGAGGGATTCGAGGGCTATTATCAGGTATGAACTCTTGGACTTAGAGCTTGATTTTATGGTGTATAAACATGAATTTGGACTGAATAATCAAGGAATCAAAGGTCAAAAATGGTGGTTTAGGGCTTGAATTTAAGAGAGTTTAAAATAGGGATTTGAGGGGTCAAATGGACCCCGATTTTGATGATTTTGATATGTACAGACTCGTGGCGAGACGAGGAATCCGGAGATGTAAATTTTGTAATTTTTCGAGAAGTGGGCCCGGGGCTCGGGTTTTGCCAACTTCGTGATTTTTGATATTTTTCGAGTCTTTCGATTGGGTTATGACCCATTAGCCTATTGTGATGTATTTCTTGTGGTCTTGATCAGATTCGACGCGCGAGGAGGGCGATTCGAGGGGAAAAGGCATAGCGAGCTAGACTTTGACCGGCTAGAGGTGAGTAATGATTTTAAATGATGTTCTGAGGGTTTGAAACCCCGGATTTGCACAACTTGGTGCTATGTTGAGATGAGACACGCGTTCCATGACGAGCGCGGGGTCATTTACTATTGGGGACTGTGACTTGGTCCAGTCCGGATGATATTTTACCGCGTATTAGCAATGACTTGTTGTTTTCACTATGATTTGGGCTTATTGCCATATTTGGGGCTTATTGCCGACTGTTTGAACTCTTTATGAACTATCATCACTGTTTTCCTCACTGTTTGAAATATTATTTGAACTCAGTCCATGTGATTTACACTGTTTTCTTGAACTCGGCCATATTTACTCAAACTTGGAGTTTTAAACTGATATTTGAACTATTGTTTGAGCTGAGTATCATTGCTTTACTGTTGCCCGAGGGGCTGTTGACTATTTCTGGACTGATTGAGGCCGAGGGCCTTATGTGAGGGCATGATGAGTGAGGTGAGGAGGCTTTCAGGCCTCGTATTGATACTGTTCAGGCTTTCAGGCCTTGTTGATAGCGCTTGGGCTGTAGGAGCCCCTCCGGAGTCTGCACACCCACAGTGAGCGCGGGTACCCATCTAGAGTGATTAAATATTGAACAGTGGTAACAATGACACTGTTATACGCGTTTGGTCAGGTAACAATGACTGACCAGTGGTAACAATGGCACTGTAATACGCGTTTAGTCAGGTAACAATGGCTGACCGGTCAGGTAATAATGGCTGACCATACTTGAGCATACTTGTTTTATTAATTGTTTTCAAAGAGATTTTCTTCCTATATTTCACTGGTTTCTACTGTTTATCTGATGTTGCTGCTTGAGATAGCATTATTTGTTCCCTTGTGGGATTTTATGTTCTCAGTCGTTATTTAATTTTATTACTCACTGGGTCGGAGTACTCATATTACTTCCTGCACCATGTGTGTAGAGACAGGCACAACTGAGTTCGTACCTGAGCGCTGATCTCCTTCCAGACCAGGCGGACTAGGAGAGACGAGGTAGCTGTCGATGTCCACAGCCCCGTTTTCTTCCTTATCTTCTGCATATTTTATTCATCTTCAGACTATATTTCCAGACTTGTAGTATTTTTACCAACTCTGTAGTAGCTCGTGACTTGTGACACCCCGATCATCGGGCTGAGTTTGGGATGGTTTTTTCCCGTTATGTTACGTTTATTTCCGCACTTATGATTAATCAGTATCTATGGTTTAAACCTGTTGTGCTAAGAAATTGTCAAAAGCAGTGTTGATTGTTCTGTTGGCTGGCCTTGTCTTCACGAGAGGCGCCATCACGACCGGATGGGAATTGGGTCGTGACATTATGAACCAGCTACTCCGAGGGCCGGCGACAGTGAGGAGGAGGAAGAATTGGACGAGCTTGAGCAGGATGCCTGGTACGAAGATGAACATCCTCAAGGCGATGGTGGAGACAGCGCTATTGGGATGGGTGGTGAAGGAGACGACAATGTCGGTGGAGACAGCGTGGAGTAGTACTTTGTACTTAGTTTTTTGTTCTCTTTTTTTGTGGGCGTCTTTCTGGCCCTTTGTAAGATACTTTTTGGAATGGAATGATTATACCCTTTGCTGTACATTATTGACTTTTTTATTTTTCTTCGAACAGTTTTCTTCAAATGGTTGCTTTTAGAATAATTATGTCGGTATGTGCTATCTCGAACATGGTCGAGTATATCTTTGATTGAATCTGGGTGAAGTCCCATGTCGTCATAATTAACTCAAACAAAGTTAACATGTAAATCGAACTCAAGTCAGGCTGAGTATGAGTTGGATTCGAGTGTGGTCAAATATAGTTTTTTACTAATTCGAACGAGGTCGATGTGCGATTATTCGAGCGAGGTCGAATGTTACTCGTAATTAATTCGAACGAGGTTGAATGTGAGTTAATTCGAGCAAGGTCGAATGTCACTTTAATTAATTCGAACAAGGATGAATGTAAGTTAATTCGAGGGAGGTCGAATATCACTTTAATTAATTCGAGCAAGGTTGAATGTGAGTTAATTAGAGCGGGGCCGAATATCACTTTAATTAATTTGAGCAAAGTCGAATGTAAGTTAATTCGAGCAAGGTCGAATGTCACTTTAATTAATTCGAACGAGGTCGAATGTAAGTGCATTGGTTGGTGCGGAGTTAACTTGGTGGAGACAGGAGGACATCATGTGTTTTGTATTCTTATCTTACATATATACATTGGAGAAGTCTACACGTTTTCCAGACCGGCATTCCAGTCCCAGTCTAATTTTTCAGGCTGGCATTCCAGTCCCAATCTATCTAGTCCCTTCATTGGGCGACCTGGAGAAGTATTGAGAGGTCGGGCAAGAACATATTGGTCTGCACCTTCAACGTATTTAACTTAAAACGTTCTCCTCGTCGCCTCGTTAAAAACCTTCCCGAGAAAACCCTATTGGGACAAAACTCAGGTGAGGGAAAAAGAGTACGACTCGAAGAATATTTTCCTTAGAAGTTAAAGTACTTGAGGTGAGCAATGTTCCAGTTGTTTGGCGGTAGTTTCCCTTCCATCGTTTCCAGTTGGAACGACCTTTTGCTTGCTGCCACCGTAATTTTGTACGGGTTGTCCCAACTAGTACCTAGCTTTCTTTCTCGTGGGTCTTTACTCGTCTGTGTTTTGTCTTTGAGTACGTAGTCTCCTACTTTGAGCGGTCTGACCTTGGCTTTTTTGTTGTAGTATCGCTCTGCCTGTTGTTTCTGAGCAACCATCCTTATGTAAGCCATGTCTCTTCGTTCTTCGACCTCATCAAGGTCTTGCCTCCTGCTCTTGTCATTAGTTGGCCCGCTTTCGTGTGAGTACCTCAGACTTGGCTCTCCGACCTCGACCGATATTACTGCATCAGTACCATAGATTAGCGAGTATGGTGTTTCTCTTGTGCTCGTTTTTGGCATTGTACGGTATGCCTATAGCACTTTCGGCTACAATTCCGGCCACAGTCCCTTGGCATTCTCGAGCTTCTTCTTCCTGATGTACAATATTGACTTGTTGGAGGACTCCGCCTGACCGTTGCCCGCTGGATGATATGGCATGGAGAGTATTCTTTTGATGTGCCATTTTTCAAAGAATTCAACGATCTTTTTCCTAGTAAATTGGGGCCCGTTGTCACAGCTGATTTCTTTGGGGATGCCAAAGCGGCATATGATATTCCTCTATATGAATGTGATCACTTCTTGCCGCATATTTAGGCGAATGCACCTGCTTCCACCCACTTTGAAAAATAGTCAGTTAAAACTAAAAGAAACCGTACATTACCTCGTCCTGCTAGGAGGGGGCCGACGATGTCCATCCCCCATTTGATGAAATGCCAAGGCGAGGTGACGGAGTGGAGGTGCTCGCCTGCTTGATGGATCATGGGGGCGTATCTTTGGCATTGTTCGCATTTTTTCATGAAGTCGGCGGCTTCCTTTTTCATTGTGGGCTAGTAGTAGCCTGCTCGTATGAGGCATCTGACTAGGGCTCGATTGTCGGTGTGAGCCCCGCAGTGACCTTCGTGGACTTCTTCTAGGAAGCGCCGTGTCTGGTTTGGTCCTAAGCACTTTGCTAGAGGGACGCCATACGACCATTTGTACATGTCGTTATTGATGACGTTGTACCTGGCTGCTTGCAAAGAACGCCGTCCTACAGGTATGCGACAATACGATTGCGCCAGTCCCAAGTTAGGTTAATAGTGTGTACCTCAATTTGGTCGATCGACGAGTGGAGGAGAGTAACCATGTTCCCTTCTCCGATCATGCTTTTAGTGGCCGCCGCCAGTTTGGCGGAGATCGCCCGCTTCAATGTTCTGCGCTCGAGGTATTTGATCGAGCTGACATTCGTCGAACTAGGGTAACAGTTTGCAGATTTTGGCCTGGCATTTCTATAGCCTTTGTTCCTTGATTTGGAAAGTCCTTGTGACTTGATTGACGACGAGTTGCGAGTCGCATCGTAGGACTACTTGTCGTGCTCCGTACTTGAGTGCCAATTTTAATCCTACAATCACTACCTCATACTCGGCCTCATTATTAGTCATATCAGGGCACCATATGGACTGGCGAATTGTTTCGCCTGTTGGGACCTCAAGCACGAGTCCCAGTCTAGATCCTGTCGCGTTAGAAGCGCCATCGGTGTACAGAATCCATAGGTCGTGTATTTTGAGGGAAGTACTCGCGGCTTCCCTTTGACTTTGGGCATTATTTTTGCACTGAAGTCGGCGACGAAGTAGGCAAGTACTTGCGACTTTATCGCCGTTCGTGGCTGATAGGTTATATCGTGCTCGCTCAGTTCTATGGCCCATTTGGCCAACCTACCCGACAACTCGGGTTTGTGTAGGATGCTCCTTAGAGGAAAGGTCGTGACCAGTGAGATGGGGTGGCATTGGAATATGGTCTAAGCTTTCGTGAAGCTACGGCCAAGGCTAGGGCTAGCTTCTCGAGGTGGGGGTACCTTGTTCAGCGTCGACCAAAGTTTTGATAATATAGTAGATTGGAGACTCTGTACCTTTATTTTCTCAGACCAGGACTACACTTACCGCAACATTGGACACGGCCAGGTAGATGAGGAGACGTTCTCCGGGCTCCGCCTTAGCAAGCAATGGGGGCGAAGACAGGTACGCCTTTAGTTCTTTTAACGCGTCGACGCACTCAGAATTCCAGTGGAGTCCGTTGTACTTTTTAAGTATGCCAAAAAATTTGTGGCACCTATCAGAGGATCGTGAGATGAATCTTGACAGGGCAGCTATACGACCGGTCAGCTTCTGCACCTGCTTCTTGCTGGTCAAGTTCTTTGGTATTCCTTCTATAACCTTGATTTGGTCGGGGTTGACCTCGGTGCCTCGTTGCAATACTAAGAAACCGAGGAACTTTCCCGAGGTCACCGAAGGCACATTTCTCGGGGTTCAATTTCATGTCGTACCTCTTGAGTATATCAAAGGCTTCTCTCAAGTGGTCGATGTGGTCTTCCATTCTTTTCGATTTGACCAACATGTCGTCTATATACTTCCATGGTTTTGCCAACTTGATCTTTGAACATTTTGGTCACCAGCCTCTGATATGTCGCCCGTGCGTTTTTCAACCCGAACGGCATAACCCTTTAGCAGTACGTCCCTTGGTGGGTGATGAAAGTGGTTTTTTCCTGATCTTCTTCCTCCATAAGGATCTGGTTGTAACCCGAATAGGCTTCTAGGAAACTTAATAGCTCGTGCCCGGCCATTGCGTCGATGAGTTGGTCGATATGGGGTAGTAGGAATGAGTCTTTCGAGGCATGCTTTGTTCAGATATGTGAAGTCTACGCATACCCGCCAGTTCCCGTTTTTCTTTTTTACCATGACCACGTTGGCGACCCATTAGGGATATTTTGACTCTATGATGGATCAATTCTCAAGCAATTTTTCCACCTCCTCGCGGACAATATCATTTATTGCGGCATTGGATTTTCTTCTAACTTGCCGCACTGGGTGGTGGAATGGGTCGACATTCAATTTATGTGTTGCCATATCCTTTGGGATGCCCGGCATGTTTGCATGGGAAAAAGCAAACAAGTCTACGTTATTTTTTAAGAATTGGCGGAATTTACCTGGTTCTTGGAGTTTGTGGCCGATGAAAGCTTTCTTGCTGTGGTCGTTATCATCGAGTTGGACGGGGTCGAGATCCTCTACATTTGACCCCGTGGCTTCTATGATTTTGGGGTCTCTAATAACGTCTTTCCCTTCATCACCATCTGGCCCCGACCTCATTAATTGTTATGCCTCCTCGGCTTTGCCCTTCAGTCGTTGGGTGTATGTGCAGTCTTAGGAAATCCGGTAGCATTCTCAGGCAGTGCAATTCTGTCCTCGATGCTGAATACTCCCTAGGGGTAGAAAATTTGATGACTTGATATAAGCTGGAGGGGACGGCTTTCATGGCGTGTATCCAAGGTCGACCTACGATGGCTTTGTATGCCATATCCTAGTCCATGATGTGGAATGTGGTCTCCAAAGTGACACCGTCAGCCAGGATGGGCAGTGTGATTTCTCTGGATGTTCGCTCAACTGCATTATTAAAACCCGTCAGTGTGATGCAGTGTGGCACTATCCTATCCTCAAGCTTCATTTGTGCGAGAACTCGAGGGTGAATTATGCACGTGCCGCTCCCATCATCAACCATAATATGTTTTACATCAATATCTAAGATGCGTAAAGTAATGAAAAGAGAGTCATAGTGAGGAAAAACCAAACTGTGGGTATCCGACTTATCGAAGATAATACTTACTTCAAGTTCGTCATACCGTTCATGAGTGATTGACCATCTGAGTTTTTGGGTGGTGGTGAAATTCACGTTGTTGATTAACGCGTCGTCGCCCCTTCTGATGATCATTTGAATGGTTCGAGCTGGGGAAGGTGGTTTGGGTGTTCCCTGGTGCTGTTCATGTCCTCAGGGCGAAGTTATCTCTCCCCCGGTCGCTCATCAGCTCTTTCAAGTGCCCTTGGTGAAGCATATTCACGACCTCCTGT